AGCGCTAATTTCTTCTGGAGCACCTGGTCACTTGGCCCCAGAATGAACTTGGGCTCGTTAACGAGGAAGACATGTGCTAAGCATGTGTGTGTGTGCTTGCATGAATGCATGTATGCATGTGAATAGGAAATGGCTATTGGGCCAACAGACAAGCCAGCAGTGTCTGCGAAAAGGAACGTGGCATCATTATGATCCTCTAATCCTGAGCTAAAAGGCCAGTAATACAAGCTGTGTGACACGGGATAAGTTACAGTACCTAACTTCCTCAGTGTCCTCTTCTGTCAAAGGAGAATGGTATTACTTAAATAAAAACAATGTATGAAACTATAGGTAAGTCTTAGTTGTCATGATGGCAGGGTCCAAGTCCTATTGACCTTGTGATAGGAACAGCAAACCTAGCAGGCACTAATGAATGTTGAATAAATGCATGAGTGCAAGATGCTATTGAATGGTTAGAGATGGCACCTGTGGTGTAGGAAAGAGTTTTAGGAACAGGGAGGAGTTGCTGATAATGGGCCATAAAGTGCCTTGAGAAAAACTTCACTGGTTAAAAACTGGACAGATTGACTGATTATCTTAAGAGATAATATCCAATGATCAGAACACTAACTTTGGCAACAGTAACAGTTGAGATTATTTTGGTTTAAGGTTCACATACACATATTAACCACATGAACCTACCAAGAACAAGTGTCCTGACTCCTTCCCAACCAACAATATATTTTGTGTATCTCTCTACATGAAGAAGGTTTTATCACTGGAACTGTAAGCACCTGGAGTCCTAAATATGCATTGGCTATGCTTTAAATAAAGAAAATGTGATCTAAAAAACAAACAAAAGCCTTAAGTCTGACTCCATCCAAGTGGAGCAGCAACTGCTGAATGTCAACCTAAATTTACAAGGAGAAACCTACAAACTTCCCTGGATCCAGAAAGAAAACGTCAATTTAATCCAGCTGTTTAACTTTCTTTTTTTTTTTTTCCTTTTTGTCTTTTTTCGTGACTGGCAACGGATCGCAACCCTCAGTGTCGCGCCCGTACCAGACCGGGACCAGCAACGGGATCGCAACACTTGGTGTTGCTCCCACACCTCGCTCAGCCAGTGAGCGGCCGGTCTGTATGTGGGATCCGAACCCTCGGCGGGTGCGTCGCCAGGCCGGCCCCAGCTGTTTAACTTTCTAAAACTAATTTAGAAAATGTAGTCTGAGAATTTTTAAGACCTGCATGTATCATGCAGCCTGTAGGGGGCAGCCACACCCTGGCCACGTTTACTTGAACACAGCAGATACATTACTGAAGGTCTGCTCTGTGCCAGGCCGTGTCTAGGCTCTGAGAACTAAAGCATGAACAGGGATTGATCGTGGAGCACCGAACACTCTTGTTGGGGGGCCCGGGGATGAGACACTAGACTGTGAATTAAAAATAATAATTCAGTGTGCTTCTTGCACAAGACAGTACCTACAAAATAATGTGATCTAGTGGTTACCTGAAAGCTAGTAACAGGGGGAGCATAGAGCCTGGGGCAATAATCACAAACTCCTGCTCTAAAACCAGACTGCTTAGGTTTCAAAACCGAGCCCTGCCCCTTACTAGCTGTGTGATGATGGACAAGTCATTTTCTATCTTTGTGATTTAGTTTCTCATCTGTAAAATGGGGTCAATAAAGCCTACATCATAGAGCTTTTGTGAGGATTAATGTCTTAATATCTGCAAAATGCTTAAAACAGTGCCAGGCACAGAGAAATTACAATGTAAATTTAAGAATTGATAAGATCTAAATCACATTCCACCTTGACCAATACATTTGTTCTTTTTCTAAATTCCTAGAAATTTCTAAAACTGAGGATTACTACTTCAATACAGAACTGGGTAAGAAAATGTTGAAAACATCCAACACAAAAAAGAAATGTTTTTTAAATGTATAAAAATTACTTGCAAATTGTCTTTTAGGGTCTGCACTTAAACACTCTTGGGCAGGACATGGAGATCTGAAGGAAATAGTAACATCACTGTAAAATCAATGAGGACATGAGAAGACTGCCAAGCTGGGAACATGGACCTCATACCACTGGCTTCAACCCTCAGTTTCCCTTTCTCCTCATTTCCCTAGGGAACAGCCATCTCCCTAAACTGGGGAGCTAGAGAGGGCCAGACCATCCCATCTTTTCATGGGCCTCTGTTTGGGACCTGAAAAATAAATTTTGGGCCCCCAAATTTGAAAGAAAAACCCCTGCAAGACTGAAATTTAATATTTTATTGAATGTCTATAAACATGTAACATGTCAATTTCAACAATGTTGAATTTAACTCTTGTAGACTTGATTGCCAAGAAATAACAATCTTTAATTAATCAAATATTTAAAAAATTATTTAAAAATCAAATTACTCAATGCTTTCCCCTAATATAAGAATTACTTTAAAAAATTATTTAAAAATCAAATTACTCAATGCTTTCCCCTAACATAAGAATTATGATAGTGTGGGATATGGGTGTATTCTGACTCTGATGTGTAATGGGACATGGAGCTTCCAAAGGCAGGAGCACCTAGGGCCTGTGAAGGTCACAAAACCAGCCTAAGTAATAAGATTTTAAGAGCATCCTGGATGTGCTCAAGTCTCTCCGCATCCTCTCCAAACCAAATGCAACTGCCCACCATTTCATCATCAAAGCTGTATTGCTCCAACTGTTAAAATGAAAATATGGTTAGGAAGATTTAATACATTACTTCCACTCTACTGCAGGTGTTCACAAACTTTAGCATGCAGAAGAATCACTTGGAAATTTTTTTTAAATGCATATTTTTTTGGGTACCAGAAATCGGAATTTCTGATTCAGTAGGTCTGGTGTGCAGCCCAGGAATCAAACATTCAGATGTAGGTAATCCAGGGACTATGCTCTGGAAACACTACTCTTGGTGAAATGGGTTTTCCGAGGACAGAGAGAGGAAAGAGCTGGTGAATAATGGAAGGGCTCTGGGGGCACCAACCCCATTCGCAGCAACTGCTGAGTGGATAGAGGTTGGCCTCATGTAGGGTCTACCTAGCTGATGACATCTTACAAATGTTTAGGGGTGGCCCCAAATCTGGGAGCTTCTGTAAATGGATTTCTTGCTCTCAAATGTAANATACACATATTAACCACATGAACCTACCAAGAACAAGTGTCCTGACTCCTTCCCAACCAACCATATATTTTGTGTATCTCTCTACATGAAGAAGGTTTTATCACTGGAACTGTAAGCACCTGGAGTCCAAGATATGCATTGGCTATGCTTTAAATAAAGACAATGTGATCTAAAAAACAAACAAAAGCCTTAAGTCTGACTCCATCCAAGTGGAGCAGCAACCGCTGAATGTCAACCTAAATTTACAAGGAGAAACTTACAAACTTCCCTGGACCCAGAATGAAAACATCAGTTTAATTCAGCTGTTTAACTTTCTAAAACTGATTTAGAAAATGTGGTCTGAGAATTTTTAAGACCTGCGTGTATCATGCAGCCTGTAGGGGGCAGCCACACCCTGGCCACGTTTACCTGAACACAGCAGATATATTACTGAAGGTCTGCTCTGTGCCAGGCGGTGTCTAGGCTCTGAGAACTAAAGCATGAACAGGGATTGATTGTGGAGGACCGAACACTCTTGTTGCGGGGCCAGGGGATGAGACACTAGACTGTGAATTAAAAATAATAATTCAGTTTGCTTCTTGCACAAGACAGTACCTACAATGTGATCTAGTGGCCACCCGAAAGCTAGTAACAGGGGGAGCATAGAGCCTGGGGCAATAATCACAAACTCCTGCTCTAAAACCAGACTGCTTAGGTTTCAAAACCGAGCCCTGCCCCTTACTAGCTGTGTGATGATGGACAAGTCATTTTCTATCTTTGTGATTTAGTTTCTCATCTGTAAAATGGGGTCAATAAAGCCTACATCATAGAGCTTTTGTGAGGATTAATGTCTTAATATCTGCAAAATGCTTAAAACAGTGCCAGGCACAGAGAAATTACAATGTAAATTTAAGAATTGATAAGATCTAAATCACATTCCACCTTGACCAATACATTTGTTCTTTTTCTAAATTCCTAGAAATTTCTAAAACTGAGGATTACTACTTCAATACAGAACTGGGTAAGAAAATGTTGAAAACATCCAACACAAAAAAGAAATGTTTTTTAAATGTATAAAAATTACTTGCAAATTGTCTTTTAGGGTCTGCACTTAAACACTCTTGGGCAGGACATGGAGATCTGAAGGAAATAGTAACATCACTGTAAAATCAATGAGGACATGAGAAGACTGCCAAGCTGGGAACATGGACCTCATACCACTGGCTTCAACCCTCAGTTTCCCTTTCTCCTCATTTCCCTAGGGAACAGCCATCTCCCTAAACTGGGGAGCTAGAGAGGGCCAGACCATCCCATCTTTTCATGGGCCTCTGTTTGGGACCTGAAAAATAAATTTTGGGCCCCCAAATTTGAAAGAAAAACCCCTGCAAGACTGAAATTTAATATTTTATTGAATGTCTATAAACATGTAACATGTCAATTTCAACAATGTTGAATTTAACTCTTGTAGACTTGATTGCCAAGAAATAACAATCTTTAATTAATGCAATATTTAAAAAATTATTTAAAAATCAAATTACTCAATGCTTTCCCCTAACATAAGAATTATGATAGTGTGGGATATGGGTGTATTCTGACTCTGATGTGTAATGGGACATGGAGCTTCCAAAGGCAGGAGCACCTAGGGCCTGTGAAGGTCACAAAACCAGCCTAAGTAATAAGATTTTAAGAGCATCCTGGATGTGCTCAAGTCTCTCCACATCCTCTCCAAACCAAATGCAACTGCCCACCATTTCATCATCAAAGCTGTATTGCTCCAACTGTTCAAATGAAAATATGGTTAGGAAGATTTAATACATTACTTCCACTCTAATGCAGGTGTTCACAAACTTTAGCATGCAGAAGAATCACTTGGAAATTTTTTTTAAATGCATATTTTTTTGGGTACCAGAAATCCGAATTTCTGATTCAGTAGGTCTGGTGTGCAGCCCAGGAATCAAACATTCAGATATAGGTAATCCAGGGACTATGCTCTGGAAACACTACTCTTGGTGAAATGGGTTTTCCGAGGACAGAGAGAGGAAAGAGCTGGTGAATAATGGAAGGGCTCTGGGGGCACCGACCCCATTCGGAGCAACTGCTGAGTGGATAGAGGTTGGCCTCATGTAGGGTCTACCTAGCTGATGTCATCTTACAAACGTTTAGGGGTGGCCCCAAATCTGGGAGCTTCTGTAAATGGATTTCTTGCTCTCAAATGTAATCAGGTGTTTTTAATGTTTTCCACTTCTCAGGGTAAAATGCCCATCATCTCCATGTGTAAAAGAACATCTCATCTGAGCAAAAACTACCTGTTTCAAGTTTTATGGAATACTTCCAAATCCCAGTATTGTAGAATCCAGAATGTCAGACCTGAAGGACCGGAGAGTCCAGTGGTGTCGTTTGTATAGAAAGAGAAACTGAGGGCTTACAGAGGCCACATTGCCTACACACGTTCATACAACTGGGACTACCACTCGATGTTCTTGGAAGTCAAGTCAGTGATTTTCCCTAAATCTCTTTTGGCAAGCAAATCTGTATCCCCTTCTCTGTAAGATTTATGGCTTGTCTCCTTTGAGCACATTGCTAGTCTGTCTCTGCGGGATGGAGAGTAATCTTTACTGTATGTTGGGAGGAGAAGAGTGTTGTAGCCAGGAACACAGATTTCATGATCATATAGATCCAGATGCACACACTGGCTTGGTTTGGGTAAATGCCTTAAATTGTCTGAGCCTCATATGTAATATGGAGGATAAGAAAACCTACTCCCTAGGGCCACCTGGCACAGTTTTAGGCTCACTAAATCATCATGTGCTCTTGGCATGGTGACTTCCCCAAAGTCAGGGCATAAAATCATTCAGGGAGCTGGTGTTGTGTCACTCACTGCATTTGTTTATATTCCCCAGGGGTCAAGCCAGCCTTCGAATGATCTCTCATCAGCATGGGCAGAAGCAAACACCCATTTCTATTACTTTATAGCTCCTGAACCTGCTGGGGTATGACCTGCTGGACTGAGCTCAGCTCAGCTTCCCTGGAAGTTAATGGTACACAGAGAAAGATGAATATTCTAGGCTTTCCAAAAGCAATCATCATGTGTGGTTACCAGAAAACTTTCATTCAATGTCCTGATGGAAAGGAAGCAGAGATACAAATAAACCCAGAATTTATATTTGCCTTGGGATAAATTATATGACATTGGAGGGTGGATAGCAGATTTTCTTTCTGGATGATTTTCTGCNTTTTATGGAATACTTCCAAATCCCAGTATTGTAGAATCCAGAATGTCAGACCTGAAGGACCAGAGAGTCCAGTGGTGTCATTTGTATAGAAAAAGAAACTGAGGGCTTACAGAGGCCACATTGCCTACACACGTTCATACAACTGGGACTACCACTCGATGTTCTTGGAAGTCAAGTCAGTGATTTTCCCTAAATCTCTTTTGGCAAGCAAATCTGTATCCCCTTCTCTGTAAGATTTATGGCTTGTCTCCTTTGAGCACATTGCTAGTCTGTCTCTGCGGGATGGAGAGTAATCTTTACTGTATGTTGGGAGGAGAAGAGTGTTGTAGCCAGGAACACAGATTTCATGATCATATAGATCCAGATGCACACACTGGCTTGGTTTGGGTAAATGCCTTAAATTGTCTGAGCCTCGTATGTAATACGGAGGATAAGAAGACCTACTCCCTAGGGCCGCCTGGCACAGTTTTAGGCTCACTAAATCATCATGTGCTCTTGCATGGTGACTTCCCCAAAGTCAGGGCATAAAATCATTCAGGGAGCTGGTGTTGTGTCACTCACTGCATTTGTTTATATTCCCCAGGGGTCAAGCCAGCCTTCGAATGATCTCTCATCAGCGTGGGCAGAAGCAAACACCCATTTCTATTACTTTATAGCTCCTGAACCTACTGGGGTATGACCTGCTGGACTGAGCTCAGCTCAGCTTCCCTGGAAGTTAATGGTACACAGAGAAAGATGAATATTCTAGGCTTTCCAAAAGCAATCATCATGTGTGGTTATCAGAAAACTTTCATTCAATATCCTGATGGAAAGGAAGCAGAGATACAAATAAACCCAGAATTTATATTTGCCTCGGGATAAATTATATGACATTGGAGGGTGGATAGCAGATTTTCTTTCTGGATGATTTTCTGCACAGGCGACTATTAGAATTTATAGCTGGTCCCTGAGTGCACATCAGCTCATAGGCTGGGAAGTCGGCCCAGAAGCCTGAGGATTCCATGCCTGGAGGGTTTAGTGCATGCTCATGCAGGAATGGGAAAGTTATCTTTGGATTTTCATTTGTCAAATTGTGAGAAGGCTTTGTTACTTTCTCCAAAGCCCGAGAGTTTCTAACATCCTTTCCTCTACATGGTAACCAGCAACTGCAAGGTGCTAACTTCCATAGCAGGCCACCCAAAGAGGGACATACAGTAGTTCAAACCACTGACCTGCATTAGTTTTGAGCTGACTGTGACAGCCAGTTCTCCACAGTCTAGTTTAGAAACTTCAGCAAGCTGTTTATTAACTTAGGAGTAAAAACTCCAGCAGTGGTCTGCCGATAACCAATCTGGTGTCCCTTGCACACTGGCAACACTCTGTAGCGTTCCCTTGGTGCGTTCCCTTGCTTTGGAACACTGCTATGGAGTGGCACAGATGTGTCTTTAGGCTTGCTGGTCCCCGGTGAGCCTCACAGCAGCCCAGGGTCTCACCACAGGTAGCGTGGCCAGGGGAACCATTACCTATGGCTTTATCAGGCAGACCACGTCTGGATCCTCCTCTACAGTCTCAGCTATTTGACCTTGGACAAAGTCAAGGATCAACTACTCATCTGTGAGATAGAGATCATCATAGTACCTACTCCACTAGGTTCTTGTGAGGATCACATGAGAATGTACAAAGGGTACCTGGCACGTACTATGTGCCCAGGAAATGGTAGCTCTAATGATTTTTCTGCTCACGAGTGGCACTCTTAGTAACAAACTCTTCTTTTTCAAGAATACACTCTCTTCTACTTTTAAAATGGAAAAGAAAAAAATTGCCAATTTCAACAGAAACCTGTGAAAACACTCGGGGACATCCATACTGTGAGGTGCTTGCACAGCGATCAGAATGAAAACCGCAGGTTAGACCCACCTGGTTCTTTACCTCCAGCCGTGGTACTAATCACATTTATGGCCACATTCTACTCCTGGGTGAAATGAATGGGCTTAAAAATAATAAAAAGAAAGGATCAGCCTTATGGGCAAGCTTGATGACAAGAGATTTGGAACATTTCTTGGGCCACATTAGACCAGACACCAGAAAGTAATGTTTAGGTCCTAATCTAAACACTTGCTCATTTGGGGAACCCGAATGCCTGATGTTAGTCTGGATTCTTCACTGGAGGCTGAGCAGAGCTGGAAGTGTGTCTGCAGGAAGTGATTCTGAGTGGGTAGTATGTGTGCTCTGCTCCACACCACCTCCTCCCAGTGATTTATCCTCGGGTTTAGC